ATCTTATACAAGGGAATGTTTGCTTTGCAAAAAGATGAATTCGGGTGCATAACTAGTGTTAATCCCAAACTGCGCATTAGCATTTTAAATCCCCAAAACTTGGAAGAAAAGAGGAATACTTCCGATTTTTCTTATGAATCAGAAATAACTCAGCCTTCTTTTTAATCGTATGTATGGAATTATTGTTTACATGTAAAAGGAAAGCTACTGAAGAAAGTCTGTTAACACCAGTGTTTATTACCTCATAACTTTTATGGTGCACAGCTTTAAGCACCTGCACATTCTTAATCCATTGACACTGATTTAAATTTTTGGATTTAGATGCCTTTAAAGTGTTAGGGGGTTTTTCTATTCTGGTCATGTGACTGGTCAAATATGGCCATGATTTGAAACTTTTGCAGGACTCTTCAATGGAAAAAACCTGTGCAAAAAGCTTATCCTTAGGAGATCTGGTTTTCAAAAAAAAAAATGGTTAGAAAACTTCCTTACAGCAACAAATTCATGACCAATTTGTAGTTATAAGAAGGACCCCCTTAACATTATTGTGCCTTTGGCAATGCATTGAGTACTCTCCCTTGATTAAGAGGCCTCTCCTGATAACATTTAATTATGCTGAGCTTATAAATGCATGAATATACTGCTCATATGAAGATAACACAAGAATCAGTGAGACTAGTACGAGTAACAAATTTCTCATAACATTTGGATGTTAAAAACTGACAATTTAGCCCCAGACTTTTGACTTTAAAACAGCCTTTTATAAGAAACATCAATATAGTTTATTATCTTTCTTGTCCATGTTAGCACAAGAATACCAGCTTTAAAATCCAAGTCTGATTTGATGACACCAGACGAAGAAAGACAAAATGACTCCAGCTAACATACATACATGTATATATACAAAATGTGTATCAAAAACTTCATTTAAAGAGCTTAATGAGACCTGTATCAAGAATGATGCAAACCAAAAGCTGTTCATACAAAACTGCAACTCTCCCTTTTGACAAATGATCAATAGTGGTCATCAAAGTGGCCTTCAAGAAACCAAAAGCAAAGAAATGCAGTTCAGTTTGAAACAGATGTAAGTGGAGTGATAAGTCACAATACATCTGACTTGTAACTATAATTATTAGACATTGAACTCACTATCTCCTTTCTGATTGGCCGAAAACGTACAGTAAATTTTCAAAATCAGTGCCTGTGATGTCATCTCTCCAGATTACACAATAATCATGTCAAGGACACTCAAGGTCACGGGTAATCATGTCATGTATGATCGCAGTGCATGATTTCTAAGGGTAATCATGTCAAGTTCGCATGCTTCATGTTGCTTGTCGTTAGTGAAGAAGCAAAAACATGAGTTTCATTTTTTTTGGTCAATGTATAATAACACAATTTTTAGATTTGGATTTTGTGATATCCAGAATAATCAAGGTCTCGGTCTACCTAGCCTGCAAACGCAGACATATTTCCGGCTGTCACTTGTCTCCGCCGAAAATAACGTCTGCAAACCTGAGCCAGGAAACGATTTCTTTGACGTAGGAATTTTAAGCCAATCACAGTTTAGCTCAAGTAGCCCCAGAACTACTCCGCGAGGTATTCGCTGCAAGGAGCACTCGAGTTTCATTCTATCATGGAATCTGATTGGCCAAAGAGAAACAAAAGTCGTTACATCACAGAAATCATTTCCTTGCTTGGGTTTGCAGACATTATTTTCAGCGGAGACAAGCGACAGGCGGATATACGTCTGCATTCGCAGGTTACGGTCTACCCTACCCTACCTCAACCTTGATTATTCTGGATATCACAAAAACCTCATCCAATAATTTATTGTTTATAACAAGCAAATTGAATCTACATGTAACTATATAGTACTGAAATTTAAAAAATAATGGAGGAACCAAACTATCAACTGTGAAGGAGACTACCATTTATGTTCATTTCATTTTACAGAAATTTAGCGCAAACAATGGCCCAAGATCATCCTGTGCCTGCTCAGCAAGACATCCACGAATGGCCAGGAATGGTCAATTTAACAAACGAAGTGGTAAGTACAAGATCAAAATACCAGTTGATTTTTAAAAATGTTGTTGTTGTTTTTTTTACGTACTTCATTTATAACCTGAGACAAATGTAATGGAAAAGATTGCCTATTTTTCTCCTCCTCCAATCCACTCCCCTACTATATTCAACATTGAGGTTAAAGCAAAAAACTTAAGGCACACCATATTATCCAACATTGATATCAGGAAGAGGGGAGATTGTCAAAAATCTCAGGCTTGTTGTAAGTCTACATGTACATGTAGTTCATGTAAACATACATGGTATATGATGTTCTTTCAACCTTTCCAACTACGTTGTCCTCCATTGTGTGAAGAAGTCCTTAAAAAGGTCTGTGGTTGGCATGGGTTTCATTAAGGGCTGGGCAGCGGGCAAATTGACTGGCTGCGAGGACAATTTTGCCCAGCTGGTTTGACCACCTAGCACAAAGTTTTTATTATAAAGAAGTTGAGTTCTAACAGTTTTGCCGGCCTGTGAAAACCAGTTGTCCTCCTGCTGACAATGTTAATGAAACCCCTGGGTTGGTAAATGATGTTTGACACCAAAACAAAGGTCATCATCAAGTTGTAACCAGCGATCGGCAACTTGCTCATGAGCTTTCATTTTCAATCTATCCACTGCTAGTCATATTAATTACCTGCACTAGACAGTGTCCATTCTATTTTGTAAGTCAGTGTGTTTCTCTTTTTTTGTTGAGATGATTAATGAGCCATTTGTAAGGTGCTAGCTGTGGTGGATGTTGTTGAAGTTGACCAAGTAGTGTTTGTTCTAAGTTAGTGTACCTGTGAGTAGTGTCTCAGTCAATTCTGTTAGTT